GGGGGGGATTTTTGGGGAGAAATTTGGGATTTTTGGGGAATTTGGGATTTTTGGGGGGAAATTTGGAAATTTTGGGGAATTTTGGGGAGATTTTGGGGGAAATTTTGGGGGAGCTGAGGGAGCTCCGGGGAGAATTCGGGTAAAATTCGGGGTTTTTTGGGGTTTTTTTGGATTTTGGGTTTTTTTGAGGCGGAAATTCCAATTTTTTGGGTGAATTTTGGGATTTTTGGTGGGGATTTTTGGGGTTTTTTGGGATTTTTTTGGGATTTTTTTGGGTTATTTTTAGCTTATTTTAGGGTTGGTTTTGAGTTATTTTTGGGGGGGTTTTGGGGTATTTTCCTGGATTTTTGGGGTTATTTTTGGGGTTTCTCTGGATATTTTTGGGGTATTTTTTGGGTGTTTTTGGGGATAATTTTGGAGGGATTTTCCTGGTATTTGAGGGGTTTTTTGAGTTATTTTTGGGGTGATTTGGGCGTATTTTTGGGGTTATTTTGTGATTTTTTTGGGATTATTTTGGAGTGTTTTGGGGTTATTTTGAGATTATTTTTGGGTTATTTTGGGGTGTTTTTCAGTGATTTTTGGGGTGTTTTGGAGTATTTTTGGATTATTTTTGGGTTATTTTTGGGGTTATTTTGAGATTATTTTTGGGGTTATTTTGGGGTGTTTTTCAGTAATTTTTGGGGTATTTTTGGATTATTTTTGGGGGGTATTTTGGGGGTGGTTTGTGATTTTTTGGGGGGGTAATTTTGGGGTGTTTTGGGATATATTTGGGTTATTTTTGGGTTATTTTTGGTGGCATTTTGTGATTATTTTTGGGGTTATTTTGGGGTGTTTTGAGGTTATTTTGGGGGGCATTTCTGTGGTTATTTTGTGATTATTTTGGGGGTCGTTTTGGGGATATTTTTGGGGATATTTTAGGGTGTTTTGGGGTTGTTTTGGGGTGTTTTGAGGGTACTTTTGGGGTTATTTTTGTGTTATATTTGATGGCATTTTGTGATTATTTTTGGGGTGTTTTTGAATGTTTTTTGGGGTGTTTTGGGGGTATTTTGGGGCTATTTTAGGGTTATTTCTGTGGGTATTTTTTGGTATTTTTGTGGTTATTTTGGGTTGTTTTCTTGTTATTTTGGGCTGGTTTTGAGTCATTTTTGGGTGTTTTGTGGGTATTTTTGGGGTTATTTTTGGTGGTATTTCAGTGGTTATTTTGTGGGTATTTCTGTGGCTATTTTTGTTATTTTTGGGGTTATTTTTGGGCTTATTTTAGGGTTATTTCTGTGATTAT